AACCCCAAAACCCCAAAACCCCAAAACCCCAAAACCCCAAAACCCCAATAAATTAAAAAATAAATTTAAGATTATTTTTATCATAAATATATTTAATACAATGGCGTCTAAAGTTAAGATAGCACTGAAAGACTTTGAATTAATGCAAACTCTGGGAACTGGCTCCTTTGGAAGAGTCAGACTAACAAAAGAAAAGGCAACTGGTCGTTACTATGCTATGAAAATTCTTAAGAAGAATGATATTATAAAGTTAAAGCAAGTTGACCATGTGATAAGTGAAAATACTATTTTGGCAGATATTGATCATCCATTTTTAGTGGGCTTACAAGGCTTTGATCAGGATAAGCAGTATCTATACTTTTTACTGGAATATATCTGCGGAGGAGAGTTATTCACTTACCTTCGGACTGAAGGCACATTAGATTCAAATAATGCAAGATTTTATTGAGGGCAGGTTATACTCATGTTTGAATACCTGCATTCTAAGAATATCATCTACAGAGATCTCAAGCCAGAAAACCTCTTGATCGATAACATGGGTTATCTTCGTCTAACGGACTTTGGTTTTGCAAAATACTGTGATGGAAGGACATACACTCTCTGCGGAACTCCTGAATATTTAGCTCCTGAGGTTTTAATGAATAAAGGGCATGGAAAACCTGTCGATTGGTGGTGCTTAGGAATCCTGACCTATGAAATGCTAGCTGGTATCGATCCGTTTAACGACGAAGACCCAATGGCTATTTATCAAAAGATATTAAAAGGAAAAATCAAGTTTCCTAAGGATTTTAACAGGAAAGCAAAAAGTTTAGTAAAGCACCTTTTGGTAGCAGACACCTCTAAAAGGTATGGGTGACTAAAAGGTGGAGTTGGAGATATTAAAGGACATAAGTGGTTTAGGGACGATTGGGATTGGATTTCGTTAGCAGAAAAAGAAATACCTGCAACATATATTCCTGAAGTAGACGACGAGGGGGATACTTCAAATTTCTCTGAATATCCTGATTCTCCTGAACCATCTCCTCCAGTTTCTGAAGAGGAGGACCCATTTAAAGACTGGTAACTTCCTTTAGCTTGAGTTTATACTTAAAAAATTAATATTCTTCTATTTTTATAACTATGCTAGGGGTTTTGGGGTTTTGGGGTTTTGGGGTTTTGGGGTTTTGGGGTTTTGGGG